AACTGAATGATCGTAATGTCATAGAATATTATTCTCCCCGCCTCACTATAAGTATCCCTTTTGCAGTATTTGTGTCTCGAATTATTTGTCTCTTTAAAATACCAATGCAGCATTTATTAACTCTTTAAAAGATATTCATTCATATTATCAGGTTTGATAGCTGAGCCGTGGTGTTGTTGTTAAAGTTGAAACATTAAAAAGCAGATATTTTTAAATGATCTTGTCGCTATCATTAAATAAATCATTAGTTTAAGAACTCTGAATGTTTTGTGAACCTTGCTCATTGTATTCATAGAAAGTAGTTTGGTGCTGGAAGCCTGAAACATGTTAGGGGTATCTCATACTTCCTTTATTATAAATATAATGTATCAAGTCTCTTTCGCTTGGAAATCTTTAATTTCGTATTCTGTTTTTTGAATTAAAAACTTTTGTTCAATGTGTTGCAGTGAACTCCTTACTGGTGTTGTGCCATATACAGATCTTCGTGCAGAAGCACAGGTCAGCCTTTCTTTTTTGTTTATATGGTAGTTTATTTTTCAAAACGTTGTAAAAGTGATATGATCAATATTTCCTCATGGCAGGCTCACACAGTACTTGAGATGAACTATACTGAGCAACAACTAACAGCAGCAGTTGTTTCTGATGGATTACGACCGGTTCTTGCTAGCGAAGATTTGGGTATACCATCAAGATTAATATCGATGATACAGCAGTGCTGGGATGCTAATCCTAAAAGCAGACCTTCCTTTGATGATATTGTGAAGGAACTTGATTTTATTATGGAACACAGGAAGGTAAAGAAGGTGGAAGATATGCATATTAGACCTTGTAACTTGCATGTTGACCATCCTGTGGACAAGACTTATCAAGACAGTATTAGCTGGTCTACTCAAGGCGAACTTTTGGTCAGAAATGCCTCTACTCAAGGCGAACTTTTGGTCAGAAATGCCTCTAGCGCATCTGATCCTTGTTTCAGAACGTGGGAGTCGTATGACGAGCCTTTAGCATACCGTCCAATACTGTCTTGGGGATCTTATGCTACCTGTGGGAGAAGGGAAGCTATGGAGGACACACATTTCATTCTGCCCCATCTTTGTAATGAAAAGGATGTCTATGCTTTTGGCATCTTTGATGGCCACAGAGGTACATATTAGTCATATAATAAGTATCTAAAGATTAGTGTTATGTTTTATATCTTAAGACGTGTGATTGTTACTTATACAGGTGCAGCAGCAGCTGAGTTTTCTTCTAGGGCTCTACCAGCAATTTTGCAAAATTTAGGTTTTATAGACAGGTATATTGCACTCTAGATGCTCCCTTCCTCAGCCTTACTATTTTTTTCCCTCTTATCTTGAAAGTTAACTAATTATTCAATATTTAAGTGCAGTCCTGCTAATACACTAGTGGAAGCCTTTCTTAGGACGGATACTGCCTTCAGAAAAGAGCTTGATTCCTATCGCAAATCCAACCGATGTATCCAGAAGGATATGCATCCTGGCTGTACAGCAATTGCTGCTATTGTATGCGGCAACAAGCTATTTGTTGCTAATAGTGGTGATTGCCGGGCAATCTTATGTCGTGCTGGTAATCCCACTGCTCTAAGTAAGGTGAGCTGCTGAAAAGTTTTATAAACTGTCTCTTTTATTTGTTACTTTTTTTCGACTCTCAAATCTTAACATTTTTATTAGGATCATGTTGCAAGCTGTCTTCAAGAGAGAGAGCGTGTTATTCGTCACGGGGGCCAAGTACATTGGCAAGTTGATACCTGGAGAGTTGGCCTTCCTGCACTTCAGGTTTGTTTGAATTCGTTGCTTTAGTTTATATCACATCACATCTTTGGAAACTCCGGGATGTGTTTCTTCTACATGCATTTTGTGAAATTGGAAACCGTGCTGAGACTCGGGGATATATTTCACTCTCAAATAATCACGTGTTAAGAAAATAAAGCAGGTGCTAACTGTGATACTAATGTTGATTTGAGTTTTTACCATTTATTGCACGGGAGTAAAAGTTGACAGTTACTTAACACAGGTTACTCGTTCTATCGGCGACGATGATCTGAAGCCTGCTGTAACTGCAGAACCTGAGATAATTGAGCACACCTTATGTGCTGAGGATGAATTTCTGGTGAGGAGTTTTAAGCTGCATTTTCATTATTTGCATGAAGTTTGTTAAATACTAGTACATTGAATATTGAGATAAGTTGTTATTTCAAGTATTAGTTAATAAAATAATTGATTTAGGTGATGGGTAGCGATGGTCTGTGGGATGTGATGAGCAGTTTGGATGTGATAAATATAATAAAAGACACAGTTAAAGAAGCTGGCATGTGCTCTAAGAGGTTGGCTACTGAGGCTGTGGAACGTGGCAGCAAAGATAACATTACAGTTATTGTCGTTTTTCTTCGACCTGTATCTACAGCAGAGAGAATATATTAGCATACATTTTCTTATGATTGCTGACTTCACTAATTTGTTATATTCTTTAATGATTACTTCAACATTGTGGATTATTGTTTAGCTATCTTGTATAAGTTTTACTTTTAGGTTGTGTATGGTTAAAGTGTTTTATTCTAAGTGTGCTGTAATGATAAAATTTTAAGGAACATATGGGTTTGTTTGTGTAGTAACTACCATGTGAACCATTCTGCCACCTCATATTTGTTCTAGTACAACAAAAAAGTATTGTTAAAAAATCTATGATAAATGTAGTTTATAAACAAAATATACTTTTCAGCCTAACAAGATGTCTTTTATAAATTACAAATCACGAGGCTTCACACAAGTTCCAAATCGAAACATACCTTGGAGTCACATTGATGTGGACTAGAGATCAGAATATTGGTCCGTTAGATATGGGTCAAGTCCGTCCATGATAGTTCGAGATTAGAAAAATACTTTCCATCTTTGATGGTGTCATTCACATCAAAATTCAAAAAGATTTTTCATGCGTTATGAGATGTCTGGATGTACTCAAAATCACACAAATTTATGTCTTTTGAATATCCACCTAATTTTGAACAAGATATGTTTAGACGCACTCAAAATTACACAAATTCTCACCTTTCAAATATCTATTCTATGTTGAACAAAATATGGTCTGAAGATACAACTCAGTATATTATTTGCATGTATTTGAATATGCATCTCCAAAATAACTCGTGCATTTAATTATTGTGTTTTTATTCAATGAACTGGTTAAATTAACGACTCAGTGATATTTACGGAGATGCATATCCGAAAATATTTATTGAAAAATTGGATAAAAAACACCTTGCGTGATCTTCTTCTCCCTACTCAAACAACACTTCATTTTCAAAACTTATGAAGCTTACGGTCTTTCATGTGCTTGTTTAATTTTAAAGACGAAGCTTGAAATATCAATATGTATGAATAAAGTTTGTTTTGATGATGATGAAGGTGTGATGACGGATGATAAATTAAACATATCTATCATGACTGAGTGAGAAGCGGTCCAAGAGAGATTCATGAAAACTGGTGACATGAAATTGCATATCAAAGAATAACTGAGATTGTCTATCTAGAAACAACGGATTTGAAACCATCGTCGAAAGCGATTAAAACAAAGTGTGTCTTTAAAAAAATTAAACTGACACAAAGTGACAACTCTACGAAATGGTCTCTTTCATACTTTGAACATATTGACTCACATTTTCAGCGACTAACAAATGTATGCATGCTAAAAAAAAGACAGAATTAAGTGACTAACAAATATATGCATGCTCCAAAGCTATATGTTAGCAAGTTAAAAAGCATTGTGAGTGAAAATTGTTAACTTTGGCACAAGTAATTACAAAAATAGTGAATTAAACTAATATTTACATAAGCGTGTGAATGAAACTGAAACGGACTAAACAAACATAACCTAATTATAATAAGTTCTGAAAATATATTTCTTCTAAAAATGTATTTTTAAAATAAATTTAATTATAAAATTAAAACATTGTTAAAAAAAACAAATGAATTGTATATTCATAAGATGCATCTGAAAATACATTTATAAATTCTAAAAATATTTTTTATGTCACGAGAATATGGTTGTAAATCTTATAGGACCTTGAATAAATCCTTTTTCTATTTTTTTGGAAGAGCTGAATTTAGGAACCCAAAAAAAAAGGGAGGAACCTATTCTCATTAGAGCTCTATTAAGAAGGGAGCGTGGAACCAAGTTGATTATACTGTTTTGCCTGGTTTGTGACGAAATGCCGAGATTAAACTTTGAGCTTGTTAAAGCATTGACTGCCTTTGAAAGAATGATGGAAGCCTATGAAGCAAACTAATAGGAGATTTACAGTTACACCTAAAATTGTATCAAAGATTAAACAAGAAATTGAAAATGCTAAATAGGTCTAATGTATACATTTGAATAAAAAGAATGGCAGAATGCTTGTATGCATAGACTTTCGTAACTTAAATGTTAATGAAGTGTAAACTTGAAACAGACGCCTCACCCATTATTTTCTTTCATCAATTGTTGATACGGGGTTTCACATGCTACAGACTACCGTAATTACCATTCTTTGTAGTCTCGACAATTCTCAGTGGCCAGCTTAAATTTTTCAGATCAAAAATACAATTATGATCCTTTGCTTTACCTATGCGCCATTTAACATATTCGTAATGCAATAAACATTAATCTTACGCTTATCCGCATATCAAGCAAGTACCAAATAACATACTTCAAAACTTCTAATTTGTTCGTGTTAATAAGGATGAAAGCTTATCACTGTTATCAATGTTTCCTCACACCTCTCCCAGCTCCATTATATATTCTAGCATCAAACCGTCACATTTAAATTATACGACTGTGATAAGCTCCTCAAAGTATCAGTATCAGATCATACACGTGATAAACTCCCAAACATGTAACAAACACGTGATAAGTTATGGACCTAATCCACTGAATAACACTAGTGAATGTTTTTGTATACTCAAAATATCTGCCAAAGTCAAAGGATGCAAAATTCCGCTGGCGAATGTTTACAGACCTAATCCAACTGTACGGCCATCTCTTCGCCGGAGACCAGCAGTGTACTGTTTCTCAAGATCCAGCTGGAGTTCCTTCTGCTTCTCAGCACGGAGTACGTCGTTGTCATTTTGATTGTCGGAGCTCTGTTCCACTTTGGCTTCTCCTTTCACTCCCTACAATTTGCCATAGGCACGAGTACAACCTCAGACTCAAAATGTGTTAGTAGGTGAAGAAACACTAACAGATTATGTCAGTCATTTAGGAACAACTAAACAATCTCATGTTATTGTTGGGTCAGAATATAGCAATCGACTCAATCAAAACTTACCATGAGTTTGTTGAATTTTTCCTGTCGCTCCCGATCAAACATTGCCATATCCCAGCGGTGGCCAGACTGCATCATTTGGAAAATGCATTACAGAGCAGCAATTGCATGTTAGCAGGTTGTAGGAAAAGCAAAACAAATGTTTACATAAATGATTACCTGTGGAAAAAATCAATAAAAATGGCACGATAATAAATTCGGAAACCTGGGGCAGAGGTTATCCAGAACTGTAGGCCTAGGCACTTACTATTTACCCCTCTACTTATCCTATTACCACATGCAACTTCGACAGAATGTGTATCATATTTGTACAAAATGAAATAGATAAGTCGGTTAACTAGTAAAGTCAATGTAATCGGGCAACTAGCACCATAAAATTTATAAACATCATTTCCTCGAAATGAGACAGTAAACATCAAAGGAGAACACTATTCAACCAGAGGCCACTGCATATCAGAGGACAAAGTTTAATAGGTTGGATGCCTTCATGACTTGCCGAGCCGAGGAAGTTTTGTTGATGTTATAAACAAAAAACAAAACAACGTTTTTGTCACCTCAAGACATGCAAGTTGTGAAGATGTCATAATTACAAGCCTCTCCAAAATTTAGAAGAGACCATATTGCTACAATATGGCTGTTAACGAAGAATCCAATATAAACAGGGAGAAAAGGGACACTATATAACCTGAATCAATAACTCATTGAGCATGAAACACACCTAATGTTATATAAAAGAGTTCAGTGATAACTTATACAATAAAAGGGAAGATGTAACAGATTATCAAAGATACCTCTTCAGTGGGTGTACTCTTCTTGCTGCCCCACAACAGTTTCTTCTTTTGGTCCGTAGTCAAGCAATTAGGCCCTACTAAGTTCTTGTTAACTGTTATGCATCAAAATTTCCAAATAAATAAAACACATACGATATTTACAAGTAATAGAATCAAAAGTTAAAGATTTGGTAATACAAGTTAGTAGAAAATTCATTTCTGGGGAAAATAAAAGAAATTAATAGAAGATGCATGTCTCTTAAATTGAAAGTAATAGACATGCCCATGGTATACGTCCACAATCCACAATAACCCACTTTCTGCATTGTAAATGGATAAAAGTTGTAATCATGAACCTTCAAACAATCAGAATCCAACCAATGATAAACAAAACATAAGCCCACATCCCAATAAAAGGCTTTTCAGAAAATGCAGTGTATACCTAATTCAGCAGCTTTCATGGCTGCCACTTTTGCAGCATCTAGATCATTGCCACTATCAAAACCACTGGTCTTAGCAGCCCCTACATATGGCTTGCTCTCATGAGAGAGCTTTGACCTTGAAGTCTTCCTTTCATCTGCTTTAGCACAATAGCAACTTAATACAATAATAAATTTGAGAGGAATAATCGTGTCCGGCTTAACTTAAAAAAAAATACAAAGCCAATACCATCTTTTCCAGAATTGTCATCCTTGTCAGCACCAAACAACTTCGGTTTCTTTCCAAAAGATTCTTTATCTTCAACACCAAACACCCCACCTACCTTTCTAGAGTTTTGGTCCTTGTTCTTACTAATTTCAATGTCATCTTTTTGGCTCCTAGATTCTGAATAGGAAACAGCACGTTCACTTTTGTTTTCTCCAAAACTTCTTTGAGAATCCTTTCTTTCATCCCGACCATCTCCATCCCTTGTACGCCTCTCCTTCTCCACCTCATCATATTCCGCACACCTCTTGCCAGATCCAGACCTGTCAAACGGAGAACACAAATCTTTATATTTCTGATGCTGCAAAAATGTTTCCATATCTTTCTCGTTGTTTCTATAACCATACCTTATGTATTTTTCACGTGAATACTTGTCCATACTACGCCCGTAGTTTTTTGACCTGCTATCACTCTCTTCTCTCATATGGTCTCCCCTTGACTCACGCGCATATCGAGATGATAACCTCTCATGTTTTCTATCCTCATCTGCATACTTGTCATGTCTTGAGTTACCATAGGAGCTCCGGAATGACTGTCTGTCAGAATGTCTAAGAGAATCACTGCTTCTTCCATACTGATTTCTGCCGTATTTTCGGTCTTGTTCCCTTCCGTCAAACTTCCTTGAATGATGGTGAGAGACTCTCACAGATTCTTCCTTTGATGGATGTGGACTTGAGCTGTGTTCTCGCCTGGGACTACCTGCATATAATGAAGAGTATAGATCTCTTCATCCAATCCTTACTCCATATATAGAATAGCTCAGATAAAATTTGGCAAAAGATGATATACAAATTCCTGAACAAAGTACTTAGTGGAAGATAGCAACACAAGGCTACTGATAATAGCACATGCCTAGATGGCAATTGCTTAACAAACAATAAACAATGCCATAAAATGTAATAAATGACACTATACGAACAGTAAACTAATTAACTTTAACTGAGCTTAGAAAATGAAAACAGCCTTTTTCTTAGGAAGTGGGGTTGACACCAAGGATTACACAAATGCCATTGTTGATATTTGTAAATATATATAGTATTAAAAATATTTGTATATAGAATAATCTCACATCGACTATATTATGTAATTAGTTGTAATCTATCTATATATAATAATGTCTCCGTAGTGCTTTTCAAAACACACGGTTTAATCTAAATGTCTCTTAGTCTCCCTTATTTCAACATGGTATCTAGAGCCTACTAAGAGGCAATTCTTTCTTCGCCGTGCTTTACCCGGTTGACCCACTGTGTCCCGGTGAGAAATAATTTTTTTTTTTTGGTAAATTGTGTTGTCACTCCGGTTTGCCTCTCACTTTTCAAAATTCTCCGGTAACCACCCTGCCGCCACTGCCGCCGTTACTGTTCCGACAAAACTTCCGGCGACATTTCGGAAAACCGACCCCACCATCTGACTCGCCGTCCTCCGATCCGGCCGCCGCCCTTGTTCCTGCCGCCGCCCCGCGCGTGCCAGCACGTCCGGCAGTGTACTTGCCTCTCCCCACCCGTTTCAGATCCCGCCTCTGTTTTACTTTCCGACTCACGGAAAACGGTGCTTTAGTGCAAACAGCCCTGATTTCACTCCGTTTTTTGTGTCATTAAGCCATGGGAGACGCTGATTTTGTCTCGTTTACTAAAGTTCCGCTTATCCCATGTTAAAAACTAACCGGATCAGCAAACTATAACATAGGGGCTCGTGTTGTCAATATGTGGTTTCATGGTCAGGGATATGAAGATCACCTAACCACACAGTTGACTAATGTTGTCGCCACCAAACTCGCTAAATGGAAGAAAACTAATGCCACTCTGCTTACCGTGTTATGGTTCTCCATAGCACCTAACCTAACCTCCAAGCACAGTATCAAGCCTTCTCCACTTGCTATGAGGTTTGGGAAAAGGCCAAGAAAGCCTTCTCCAACGACGTTCATTGTCTATACAGTGTCATCCTCAAATTCGACATACTGAAATTGGAGAATATGGATATGCAAACCTATCTGAGTAAGCTTGATACCTTGAAAGCAAGTTACGCAACCTTCATGCTGTACACAAAAGATGCAACAGCTCATGCCGAACAACAGAGTAAATTTTTCATGGTCATGGCACTTAAAGGACTACCATCCAAACTCGACTCCGTTTGTAACCAGATTTTATACTACTGTTCCTAACTATGATACAGTTAGTGAACAAATGTTGCGCTTGACTACACCTCATGCGTTTGGTCTGATTTCCCCTCCATCTAGTGTGCTCCAACACCAGGTGACACTGCTGCCCTCGCATCTCTTGGCAACAATCAGAATCGCCCTCGAGGAGGGTCATCCAACTCCAAACCTCGCCCCAAGTGTGACCATTGTAACCGGCTTGGGCATACTATTGACCGTTGTTGGAAGCTACATGGCAAACCCCCACGCAGACACTATGCAGACTTCACCTTCTATTCAGAACCTTACGCCAAGCTACGAGGATTTTCTCAGGTGGTGTCAGACTAATAAGACCTCTGGATCCACGGCTTCGGTTGCACACACGGGTAATTCATCTGTTTGCTTCTCTCAAGCATCTCCTCGTGATCCTTGAGTCCCCGATTCTGGTGCTTCTGATTATGTTACTGGTAATAAAGGTTTTTTTTCTTCTCTCTCTACCTCTGGTTTCTTACCCACTATAATTGCCGCAAATGGTTCTCAAACCCGATCCCGTGGGATTGGTACTGTTCAAACTTTACCATCTCTCCCTGTTACTTTTGTCCTATATGTACCAAATTGCCCATTTAATTTGCTATCTGTCAGTCGTTTAACTCGTTCCTTTAATTGTTCTATCACCTTTACTAATAGTAATGTTACTCTACAAGATCGGAGTTCGGGACAGACGATTGGCGTCGAATATGAGTCTCAAGACCTTTACTACTTCTCTACATCATTTACCACATGCTCCACCATAAATTCTCCACTCATTATACATTCGCAGTTAAGTCATCCAGGTCTTCCCAAGTTACAAAAGTTGGTGCCCAATTTATCTAAATTATCCACTTTGCATTGTGAGTCTTGTCAGTTAGGAAAACATACTCGTAGTCACTTTCCTGGTCGAGTCAATAAACGGGTTGCGTCCCCTTTTGCTTTAGGTCACTCCGATGTTCGGGGTCCCTCGCGTACTGTGTCTACTTTTGAGTCTAGGTATTTTGTAACTTTTATTGATGATTTTTCACGTTGCACATGACTATTTTTAATGAAGAGCAGACCTGAATTGTTTTTTATTTTTGAACAATTTTATCGAGAAATAAGAACCCAATTTGGTTTGTCTATTAGTACCTTAAGAAGTGACAATGCACGTGAATATTTATCCCAACAATCTCAAACCTTTATGTCATCCAATGGTATTTTGCACCAAACATCTTGCCCTCATACACCCCAACAAGACGGGGTAGCCGAACGCAAAAATCAGCATCTCGTAGAAACCACTCTGACCCTACTTCTCCATGGTAATGTTCCTCTCCGGTTTTGGGGAGATGCGGTGTTCACGGCATGTTACCTCATAAATCGCATGCCATCATCTGTCCTGAATAATAAAATCCCTCATTCAATCTTGTTTTCAAACTCTCCACACCACCCAATTCCTCCTCGAGTCTTCAGGTCTACGTGTTTTGTACACAATCTCTCCCCTGATCTTGATAAACTATCATCTCGATCACTAAAGTGTGTCTTTCTTGACTATCATCGATCCCAAAAGGGTTATCGTTGCTACTCACATACTCTACAACGATACCTTGTATCCGCCGATGATACCTTCTTCGAGTCTGTTCCATATTTCGAGTTCAGCCAAGTAACTATAGAACCTCTACAGGAAAGTATTCCGACACCTCTTTCGGAAGTTCCATCTATCATTATCTCCCATCATTATAGGGAACCTGACCCATTAGATACCCCTTATAAGCCCTACATCTCCCATCATTGAGTCTGATCTTCTGATTGCCTTTCGAAAAGATATAAGTCAAACACGAAATCCTTCTCCACATTATATTAATTTATGTTATCATCGTCTTTCCCCTTTGCAGGATACTTGTTTGTCTTCCTTGTCTTCCTTGCATTTTGTTTCTATTCCTAAAACTCCAGGTGAAGCATTACCTCACCCTGAGTGGAGGCAAGCAATGGTTGATGAAATGTGTGCTCTTCAAAGAAGTGGTACCTGGGAACTGGTTCCTCTACCCCATGGAAAATCTTTAGTAAGTTGTTGTTGGCTTTATACAGTGAAGGTCGGTCTAAATGGTAAGATTGATCAATTTAAAGCTCGCTTGGTAGCCAAATGATACACTCAGATTTTTGGATTGGATTATAGTGATACCTTTTCGTCTGTAGCCAAGATGGCATCTGTTAGACTTCTAGCCATTGCAGTCATTCGACATTGCCTTCTTCATCAACTTGACATCAAAAATGCATTCATACATGGTGATCTTGAAGAGGAAGTATATATGGAACAACCACCTGGGTTTGTTGCTCAGGGAGAGTCATCGAATATGGTTTATAGGCTACACAGGTCTCTTTATGGTCTTAAGCAATCTACAAGAGTTTGATTTGGCAGATTCAGCATCGTAGTACAACAGTTTGGTATGGTCCGTAGTGAAGCTGATCATTCTGTTTTTTATCGTCACTCACCCCAAGGGCGTATTTATCTTATTGTGTATTTAGATGACATTGTCATAACTGGTAGTGATCAGCAAGAAATACTCCAGTTGAAACAGCATCTCTCGAAACAATTTCAGACAAAAGATCTTGGTAAACTCCGTTATTTCTTGGGTGTTGAAGTAGCCCAATCTAAAGATGGTTTGGTGATTTCTCAACGGAAATATGCTACGAATATTTTGGAAGAAACAGGTTTGTTAAATGCTAAACCAGCCGATACTCCTATGGATCCAAGTGTCAAACTATTATCCAATCAAGGGGAGCCTCTATCTGACTCAGGAAGGTATAGGAGATTGGTTGGAAAGTTGAATTATCTCACTGTCACTCGTCCGGACATTTCTTTTGCAGTCAGTGTGGTAAGTTAGTTCTTAAATTCCCCTTGTAAGGAGCACATGGATGTTGTTATCCGGATTCTGAGATACATCAAATGTGCTCCAAAAAAAGATCTTGTGTATAAGGATAAAGGACATACCCAGATAGTTGGATACTCCGATGCTGATTGAGCAGGGTCACCCATTGACAGACGATCCACCTCTGGGTATTGTGTACTTGTTGAAGGAAACCTTATATCCTGGAAAAGTAAGAAACAAAATGTAGTTGCAAGATCAAGCGTCGAGGCAGGGTATAGGACCATGGCAATGGCAACATGTGAACTTATTTGGTTAAAACAGTTGCTCAAGGAATTTCAAATTGAAGAAGCAAGACCAATGACACTTATTTGTAATCATCATGATGTATTGCACATTGCTTCAAATCCAGTCTTCCATGAGAGGACCAAACATATTGAGATAGACTGTCACTTTTTCTGAGAGAAGATTGAGTCAGACGACATTGTCACAAGCTTTGTTAAATGGATATGCTTATTACCGTTATTAAAAGGATAGCATCAAATTTTGGAACACAAACCGCATGCACCATGACAAAAGAAAATGGTGACAAGTTTAATCAAAGAGGGAGCATCGGCAATTGCTTGGCAAAGCCAAAGAAGTCATAAGCACTAAGATTTAACTAATAATTGTATATAAAAAATAGTAAAATCAGGAAACAGAATAAAGCCACGTGATATTATTGCAAAATGTAATTATAAGTGAAATCAGGAAATGAAAACAAAAATGTTTTCACAAAACCAAACAGACCCTAAAGCATTTCCCTACACTCAACTGCCATGCTATTAGACAACGAAATCTTGTTGAACAACTTTGTGAAACATCTTTTGATTTTCTTTCCTAACCCTTCTGTACCTCAATAGTATTGTATCTAGTCATACTATTTTGCCAGTATTCATCTTCTTCAAAGATTCTTTCTTTTACTTCAGGTTCTCAAATTCGTATAAAAAAAACTTATGTTTTTCTATCGTCGACTCCATTACTAGTCTCTTAAAAAGTTCCATACAGCTTGTGCCTTTTTCATGAATAGCTTTTGAGAGTAACTTGTATATCTTAATATCCTGAGCTTTGACTATGACTTGTTCTTCATCCTAAATGCACTTCAATTTGTTCAATTTTACCTTTCTCTTGCTACACATTCACGTCATATGACACAGTGCAACCACACAAAATAAATATATACAAGTTTTCTGACAAAAAGCATAGGCGTGATATCAAAATATGAATACGGGGCATCTTCAGAAAATACATACTCTTTGACTTCTTAAGAACTCCAGCAAGTGGGAGTACAAACAACAGGCATGAGACACCAATACCTATCTATTGTTCAGCAGAAGAAGTGCCATGCAGGAACAATAGGATGCAGTTCATACTAGTAACCAATAATACGAAACAATATACAAGAACCCTAAACATTATAATCATTTGCCACAATACCACTGTAGCTCCATAAAAATAAGAAGTCCAGAGTTAAAAGATTCAAACCATCAGGTGATGATGACCCATCAATAGGTGATCGTCGCCGATAATTCCTATTAGCTGCCTCGCCAGAAGGCTTGCGAAATACATTTTTGGTGTCAGAATCGCCAAGCGGCGGAGATTGTGAGTTTGAATCCATTCTACAAAGCCTGTAAACACTAACAACCAAAATCATGCTAAAACTCTCAGTAAATTAAAGAATCAACCTGAGGCAGAAGACTAAATTTCCATATCCTACTTACAGTGCCTATTAAACTCGTTAATAAATTCATTTTAAGTTTCAAAAACATTCAATAACTGAGAAAATCATCTTCCTAGGATAAAAATCTTCTAAAAATTTAATAAATTTTCAAATGAATATTAAAGATGAGAAGATAAAAAACAAAAACATTCAAATTTGATAGAAGAAAAAGAAAGAAAATATACTAATGGATACAAAAACTAAAAATGGAGAACGAAAGAGGGAACTTACGAGTGCGAAATTTGGGATTTTCAGAGTGTGGATGATTGATTCATAGGGTAATTGTGAGGAAGAGGAGAAATGAAACCCTCGATTGATTCTTCCCTCTTCTGTCGTCGTTTGAACAAAGATGTAGGGCTTTCCCCGCATACTGTCGTTTACATTACTTTGTTTTAATATAAAATAATAAAAAAAAAAATTTAAATAGGTAAAATATAATTTATATAACTCTCCTACAATTACTAATTACTTACTTTTTTTTATCATAAATACTTTAAAAATTTTACTCATAAATTGTTACTTTTGATGTAGTGACAATATAATCTTTTTTTTTTCTATTTATAGTACATGAAATTCTGGTATACGGATCTCAGATGTCTCGAGAGATGTCGAGACATTGATCTTTGCATAACTAAATAAGGACATAACAAAACAGAACAAACTGATATGTCAAATCATAACAGTGTAATGACAGATGTTTCAACACCTATTATGACATGTATTTTATAGCAAGAGAAAGACTAAAATATTCATAAAAGAATGAAAAATACTCCAAGATATAATGACCTAGTTCGGTGTACAACAACGCCTACATCTGGGGGCTACCAAGTCATGAATGAATTCATTATCAGTAGTATTAATTCAGAGCTAAACTCCCCCGTTTGCAACCCCTCACTTAATCCCTACCTAGTGCAACTTCTACCTAGAAATCTCCATCTAAATACGAGAAACCCATCTTAATTCATCACCTTAGTGATATCTAACAATCATAACCTCCGGTGACTGTATCAAACTATTCAATTGAAAGACACCTCTTTCGACATAATATTCAGTCAAGACTTTTGACTAACAATCATACTTGAATTTGCTTAATAGCTTTATCCAAGAACAATATATAATTTATTACCTATAGGTTTCTGAATATGTAAAACTATGTCTACCATAATGTATCAAACCTGATACAAAAGGTGACTTACAATACAAGAAAGCCACGCGACTCTCAAAACCCTAAAACCTTATTTTTACTATACAAAAGTCTTAATAAGGAATCCCCCTTTGTTCTAGGTCTAAGTATTCCTTTTATAATCTTCAGCAATCCATGGGCCTCGAAGTCTTTGTCTAATCATTCCTTGATCCATGCTCTGATTGCACCTTAAATCTTGAAACAGATCTGCAATAAACCTGTTGTATCAGACCAAGATGTCGAGTCCTCAAGATAGTACATGTTGTCTGACATGTTGTTCTTTAAAGATTTCTTTATGTTATAACATCTTGTTCAACATCATGTTTTACCAAAATATGGTCAAATCTTAGAGCCTTCAATCTCCCTCTTTTGACAAATTTTGGCTAAAACTCATTTTGCACAATAAACCCGGGAAATAAAGAAGAAGGAGAAGTAGAAAGTCTTGAAGTCATTTCAGTCTGCCTATGACGAGTCTAGCAGAAAATAATGTAACTCCTGGAAGCTTTCATTCTTCCTCTACAGCATACACCACCTGTTGTACGACGTGATTCCTGAACCCTGGTGTACATGAGGAAGAAGATGCAAGACACTCCCCCTCAAAACTAGTCCCAATTTACCACTCTCTATTATCCAGATCAGAGCTTGGACAAGCAGACCCCAGTTCTGGATAACTCATAATACAAGACACAATTGTGATCATAACTCAGATCACAAGACATAAACAAACGACTCACAACATAAGGAACTGAGACACAGGCGAGATGTTAGAGCTTCTTATCCAACATCCTTGCAAAACAACTACAAGAACAGACTCAGACCACAAAAAAAGTTCAGTCATGTGTTGCAAGGAACAACACACAACTGAGATAGACTCGCAACCTATCTCTCATATTTTAGCCAAAAATTGACAAAGGAACCCAACACAGTTCCATACCCAAATAATACTCACCCAAACCCAAAAAAAAATCCATAAAGACTCAACACAGCAAAGAACCACACCCTGAGATAAAGGAAGCAAAGACCTCCTTTAAATACCTGAGCATTTTCTTAGGAATTAACGAGCCACGGAAATAACCAAAGGACAATTCAATGAACGATTAAATTGGGTAAGATAACTTTAACATAAATGAGTATGCACCGGCCAACTCAGTTTTGATTGTTTCTTCATTAAAGAGAATCGTCCAAAGACTATGCATGTACCAAGGAAACATGTTTTGCACACCTTCTTTAAGACACGTTTTCACCGTCAACAAACACCGCCCACATAGAGCCATGAGTCTGAAATAATGTCCTGACACCTAGTCAGTCCTTGCCTACTCTCTCTTGTAAACTTTGAAGCATAGTCATAGTGCCTTCCAAAGAACTCCAAGTAAACTCCTTTCGGCCAGAATGAGAAAAACCTGACCATGATGTCAAAACATTATGTGTGACATCCCCGTGAAACTTATCTCAACCTGCAGAGAAAAATAAATTCTTTCAGACAATATCCAATCTTATTTCCCAGGTCTCTCCTAAGAACCATGAACATAGTTGAGATAATTCAATAGCCTTAACAATTCAAACTCACGAGCAGAAACATACAGAGCTAAAGAATCAACACACTATGGTGTCAAGACATCTAATATGACATCACAACCTCATATAAATCACATGAACATCTTCATGCTCATAAGTGAGAAAATACTAGGATTACAATCCTTGTACCAAAACCAATAGACTCTTGGATTGAGATCAAATAACACCACTGGTCACTTTCCCCTTGAACGCATCCACACACTATACAAATCGATCATGAACCTTATAGCCATAGATAACCCCGTTCTTTGAGAAAAGAAATCTAAACAAACCTGAAATGCTCACATCCCTGAAAGAGACATACAAATTCTTTTAACTCCTTGGTTAGCCAAGATATCATCCATACTTGGAAGACATCAAACCCCTTCATCATATGAAGAAAGATACATCCTCAGCCTGCGTTGTAACACCCCCTTTCTACACCCTCAAATAATACAAATAATCATTCAGGCATAATTCAAAATTTCATCAGAGTACATTTATATCATGGCATAAAAGGGGCATATCACATTATTCCAAAAATTCGACACATACAAAACACCTGCTCAACAGATATGCAACATCGGGGCAACACCCACAAGAAAATATTTAGAACAAAGGCGGAAACATCCAAATATTTCATAATATCCAAAACATGTATTCACATATACAATTATCATTCACCATGTTTACCAAACATATCATCAGCAGATACATATACAGGTGTATCACAAAAGAATCAAAATAATCTCTAACTACTCGGTGCCACATATCAGAGCCAACCGACCAAAAAGACTGAAGCCACACTTCACAAAAGATCTCCAGCAATCTAATCTGCAATGCCTCATAGAGCATTATAAAACAGCAGAAGGGTGAGAAACATTATCATAATACATAATGCATATAAACATATATACACATAACGTCCAATAACATCGTTCGCGTTCTCACCACAACTCATCTCATTACACCGTACATCGCAATGTATTCACAATTAACTATTTACAAATAGAACACTAAGCATATACAATATGTATCATCAATGTTTATATTATTTCATAACCATACACACATATACAGATATACTCACACATACGTGTATCTTCAAACATCCCATTCATGCCAATTATCAACAACTTACATAAACATCTACAATCATGTTTATTCACCATACATCGTGCAAAAATGATAAATGAAAATCATAGAGGCCAACTCGCTACTCTACGCAAATGTAATACGATACCGACTTAATCGTCCATCAGATTCTCCTAAGAATCAATTCACTCACGCCCCTCACGGGTACACTATAACTCATCAGATTCTCATAGGAATCACATTGCTCATCAAATTCTCCGAGGAATCACACCGCTCATCAGATTCTCCGAGGAATCACATCGTTCATCAGATTCTCCGAGGAATCACATTGTTCATCAGATTCTCCGAGGAATCACATTGTTCATCAGATTCTCCGAGGAATCACATCGTTCATCAGATTCTCCGAGGAATCACATCGTTCATCAGATTCTCCAAGGAATCACATCGTTCATCAGATTCTCCGAGGAATCACATCGTTCATCAGATTCTCTGAGGAATCACATCGTTCATCAGATTCTCCGAGGAATCACATTGTTCATCAGATTCTCCTAGGAATCCTATCACTCATCGGACTCTCCTAGGAATCACATTACTCATAGGACTCTCCTAGGAATCCTATCACTCATCAGACTCTCCTAGGAATCATATTACTCATCAGACTCTCCTAGGAATCCTATCACTCATCAGACTCTCCTAGGAATCAACAGCACAAGAATGTACTTCATGATGCTTCACATGCAAAATGACTTCATACACTTCTTGAAATGCATACATGTTTACAAACATACTCATGCATTCTTCACATTCATCGCATATATTCATTATGCATTCACAATATATATACATATCATAATACATATATACATATTCATCATTCGATCTCAACATGCATTTCTATTCAATTCAAGTAAATGCACCAAATTGCCAAACGGCCACGTTCCACACTTCACAAATCACAAACTAGGATTCACGCCATACGGCCACCCACAACACATATAACAGCATATAATTAGTCATCTCAGACAAGGAATGATTGCAACCAAACCACACAAACAATCCACAAATG